CAGCCATCGACCGCCATCCTCCAGCGAATCGGATTCCGAGGCTGCCCCGACGGTACATGTCCCACCACCGGGACCACCGCCACCGACTGCGCCTGGCGGGCCCCCACCGCCAACACTGGGACCACCTCTTACCAGTGCACTGGCCGTACCAGCAGCCTCCAAGATGCCACCGACAGCGCCCAGCATCATACGGCCCATCGGGAAGGACGGTCCACCCGCTCCCACGCCAGTGCCCCCGGCACTGCTTACAGTACCGGATGACATGTACATCAGCCTCTTCTCCCTACCGGTCGGACCTCTGCCCACCAGACCTGCAGGACCCGTTGCCTCGACTGCATTGGAAACAATGCCCAGTCCACCGCACATGGCTGGAACAGGAACGACAACAGCAACGCCAGCCCTTCATGCAAGCCCGCTACCAACCCTGCCCATGGCCAAGGCACCGCCGCCAACGGCAACGTCGAGCACACCGCAACCCCACCTTGTGGGACCAGCAGGGAAGGCGTCGGCACTCCCATGGGCATGCCCACCGCAGCCACACCGGCGCCCTCCACCAGCTCATCGGCGGGGCCAGGGGTGTCTATCTATGCCCTACCAGGCGCGGCGACGGAGGGAGGCACTATTACGACGGCACCGCCACCTACCACAACTGAGGAGACAACGACAGGCACTAACCCGCCGAGTACATAAAGTGGGTCTGCCTCCAGGGGCTGGATTTTCCAATCGGAACTGCCTGTTCCAGTGGAGCTTTTGCAAGTCTCACTCCATGTTCACCCAGCTCAGCAATGTCAGGTGTCATCAGGCAAAACCGCTTTCTTCTACTGCCTGCAATGCTTCCCTAAGGATACATGTCCATATCGGTGGTGCATTTAGCCAACCCAGCCTCCCTACACTGTCCGTTCCGCTCACCAAGGTCGAACGCGACACCTGTCCTGAAGGCCATCACTCATCCGGCAGCTTTGCACGATTTCACCACACCAGGCATGTAACACCTGAACAGGCATCTCGATTGCAGGGGCTGCTGAGCCTACCTGCAGTGTGCTCAAAAAGCCAGGGGTGGTCGCTCAGCACACCATGTGTCACTCCATCCCTGGAGAGCAGCTGCCATGTAACATACAGACTTCCGAGGCCACGGCATCCTGGGACCCCTGTCGGTCTCTCCTTCCCTATGCCGGCATCCAAGGGCCAGTCTGCAGACTGGTGCGCCTCTTTCAGTGCCCATAGACTGGAAGAGCATCTAGGGGCACTTGTCCAGGGCATGCCTGCAGATTGCACAACCTGGTCGTCACAACAATCCGTGGCCTTTGTAGATGCTGCATTGAAACAGATCAAGGAGGAGATCACCCTGGGCCTTCACCAGGCCAGCACACATGGCATAATCCACAACGTCCTGATGCGTTCTCAGGATGGCAATCAGCCAACCGAGAATGCCTTGAGAACCCTCCTCTATCAGGCCCTGCAGAAAGCACAGGAGCAGCAAGTCCTCAGAGGGGTGACGCATGACGCTGTATATACTACCTCGCAGTCTGAGCAACCCACCAGTGATGTGCCATCAGCAAACATGAGAACTCCATCATCAGCTGCTGGAAGCGAAGTCGTTGCGACTGGACCTCAGACTGACAATTTATGTGCACCTCCAAACAACTATAGCCGCTCATCTCAGGTCGGCGCCACACCAGCCCTCTGCGCTGACGAATTATCCCACTCACCTGCAGGGGTGACACATAATCGTGACACTTGTGGTGGCAAAGAGACATCAGTGCAGCAAGTGAGAGAGGATTGTCGGAGCTCAAAGAGCGGAAATCAGTGCATCTCAATTACTGTGCGGAAAGCAGCCGTCTATCACTGTACCGTCGGGAGCCCTTGCCTGCAATGGTCTACTCCCCCCATGCTCTGTACAATCCAGCGGGGAGCTTACATACAAAAAATTGTGTCCACTGGAAAAAGGCAGATCACACTCTGCATGGGCACCATCCACCAACCGTGTACCGACTTGAACGCAGAGGCACTGGCTCAGACACACCTCAAGCCACTACCCAGTTCAGTGTACTCCGCCTGCCACATGTCGATCCTCTTCTCAGTTTCTGGCAGCACCCGAGGCGTGGCGCTCCCGCAGGACTGGATAGCCAACGGCGAGGACATCATCCCCGCATATGATGGAGTTCACGCTGACCAAGACCAACGGCAGTTTGATGCACAACGATGCCCCATTCTACTCACCAGCACGGGTGCCAGATACTCCTTACCCAGGCTGGTCTGCCCAGCCGACCAACAGGAGATGCCAACCCAGACCGAGCAGGAACATGTTCAGGCATTGCTGGAAGCCCTGCTCGCCGATGACAGACCAAAGCTCCTGCTATACATTTCCTACTTCCTAGGAAAAGAAAGTGCAGAAAGTGTCCAGCATAGGCTGGAGGCACTGACGCTGAAGGACTTGGAGCCACATGACCTAGCAAGGCTCACAACAGGTTGGCAGGTGCTGGAGATGCATAAGCAAATCTGCCTGGCCTCCCGCCTGGATGATACCGAGCAAGCGACAGCGCCGTGCCACCCTCAAGAACTGCAACCTTGCAATTCACACCTTGTCACGAATGTGTTGATGCCCTCTCAGGTCAGAAAGTGTCCAGACAGGCGCGAAAGGGGAGGACATTGTCAAGCTGTGCTAAGGGACAGTAAGCGACTTTGTCCACTGACGCTTCACCATAATCCCGCCAATCGGCCGGAGCCAACAGAAAAAGGAAGGCTGCCCGAGACGCACTGCCCGTACTGCGCCCGGTGGGATTATCACAGCCAGTCAATACTGCCTCCAATTCCCATGAGGCCATCCATCTCTCCAGGAGCGTCCATGGATGTATCTGATGCTGGATGCTCAGTACAGCTGCTTGGTTCTGCTGAAGTAAATTCTGCCTCAGACGTCACAGGCGTGACAGTGAGCCCATCTTCGGATGACCGCGATCTTTTCCAGCACAAGGGGTGTACGGTGTGGGCAAGTTTGTGTGCTCTACAACACCAAAACAGGGAATCTCCACACTGCCAATCCATGATCAAGCACCTCCGCCCCCGTCCCCCTACAGTTCTCCAGTCCCCACATCCCTACCGGTTAACGTTGGCCATGGGACACAGCAAATGCTCTAAGAAAAGGCAAGGACAACGACCTGGCAAAGAGCAGAGAGCAGCGGCACGAGAAGCAGCGGAGCTTGAGGCCCTGGCAGTCAACACCTCCACGCATGCGCACCGTGCCGAAGCGGAGCAACCAGATGCCACCAATCCGGAACAAGGCCAACAGTCAGAGATGTGGGACGAAGAAGGCCCATGGGGAGACACACCGGACTCGGAGCCACAGACCTGGCGACCCTCCGTGCACCAGGATCATGGAGACCCACAACACGCACCGAGCCCTGACATGACATCCTTGTCATCGCTTCCAGCGAGCTCCTCACGCAGCTCATGCGATGAGCAAGCCTGGCAACCAGGTGAGGGTCTTCAGCTCCAACGAGTGCCGCAACGAGATGCAGAGCCAACCCTGGACGACGATACTAACGACAAGCTCACGGGGACCCCTGCCCGCCAAGTGCAGCAGGAGATGAACCATGCCCCTGGCACCCCCGGCATGTCACCAGTATCGCCGCCAGACGAGTTGGGGGACCCAGGGTCGATATCGGCACTACCCCTATCAGAAAGTGAAGTCGAACAGTCGAATCCGCCACGGCTCGACCGCCCAGACTTCATTGCAAAACCTCAGGCGCCACCGACCACGGCGGCAAGCTCTGCACCCAGCTCAAATGAAGGACCAACCCATCACTACACGCTGCAGCAGCTATGGAACATGGAGGATGTCCACTCACCGGAGCCGCAGTCCATTTCCAGGGATCGCTCGGACAGTCCAGATCTTCTCCGAGCCTCCTCCTCATCCAGCAGAAAGAGACACCACCGGCCCGAACGGAGTGAGACCTCTGATGAAGAAGAACTTATACCTGATGCTCAGATGCAAACGCAGCGGCTCGACACCCTGCGACGCAACCTCCAGCGTGCTTTTGGTCGAAAAACGCTGAGCTTCCTGGGAGCTGTTCTCCTCATGCTTGCCATAAAGCCAGCTCGTAATGGTAGCATCGTAGGGTCTGCAGCCAAAAAATGCCGGCACTCAGGTCCTGGCCTGCACGACCGATCATCAAGGCCAGCACAGCATAAGGATGCCCCCCCTGGCCAGCATACAGTGGAGTCACCCTGCTGCCAATGCCGACACCACTAAATATCATGGAAGGGATGGCCACATAGGCACAAAACCCAAATTCTACTTCAAGATAGCCTCAAAATTTACCCCAAAAACCACAGGAAGAGCCGAGCCAGGTCCCAAGTCCTGGCGCGACTGAGTGCAATCATGTTCATATGCTGTCTCAGCGAAACTCTTGCTGGCCCGGTCAAGCCGAGGGTTTCTCCCGAGGCCGCAACGGGAGGGAGCTCCAAGCTCCAGCCTGTCCGCCACTTATACTTGTGGTGGAGCGAAACATGGCGGCCAGAGCCCAATCATACTACACGCAGAACAGATAGTCAAAAAGAGGTCTCTCCAAAAAGCCTGGGTGCAGGCGCACAGGCAAACTGCCGCCAGGTATCGAGGAAGGACTCTTCTTGCCCCTGAGCACCCTACTTTCTCCGAGCACGCCGCACAAGCACTTCCCCATCGCCATAGATCTGCGGAAGCTTTCCCGGAGCCCACCCGCAGGAGAATCACGGTGATGACGTACAATTGTGGGGGCCTTGCGCAAGGCCTTTACCACGAAATGCTTGAGTGGCTACATGCGCCAGATGGCGCTGCTCATGCTCCAGACATAGTCTTCATCCAAGAAACGCATTGGAGCAAGCCAAGCGATTGGGATACACATGATTGGTACGTGCAGGCCTCATGTATGTCCGCACACCAGGCAGGACTGCTCACGCTTATATCTAAACGTCGTTTTCCGCAAGCAGCCATTCGAACCAAAGCCGTTGTGGAGGGACGTCTAATGTGCACCAGGTTGGAGGCTGCAGGCGTCGTCTACACCCTTCTAAATGTGTACCAAAAAGCCCTTGACCACAAGCCAGGCACCCAAGCAGAACGTGATGCAGTCTGGGACGCTCTTCGTCAGGAGCTTACCCACTGCCCCAAGCGACATGAGCTCATCATCGCAGGCGACTTCAATACAGGGCTACAGGCTAGATCCCCTGAAGTTGGCTCTGCTGTCCACCGCGCTGGACAAGCTGCAAAAGCCAAAGACCAGGTTACAATGCAACAATTGTTGCGCCAATTTGATCTCCGTGCCCTTAACACCTTTCACCCTTACCCTCTGCACACCACGTACAGACATGATCAGGCTGACAAAATCAAAAGTCAGGTCGACTACATCCTAGTACGGGGTAGACAAACTGACCAAATTGCAAAAAGACCGCACATTTTGTGCCAGACCAAACTTGCTGACTGGAGAGGTGGGTCAAAGCATTGGCCAATCCTCGCCAGCATCCCGGCTAAGTACTTTCATGCTGCTCCCCCGCCACGAGAACGTCCACGGCAAGCTGGAGGCCATGAAGGCCACGTCTCAAAAACTGTGACGCTCATTTACCAGGAGCAAGTACAACGCCACATCGAAAAGCTCAATGAATGGGACACGGAGGTCGTGAACGACATACTTCATCGAACAGCTGAGTCCACCATCCTTCTCCTCCCGACACCCAAAGAACCTGCTGAAGCCAGGCCGGCCCCGGTTAAGCGCATGTGGCAGTGTCATCATGACATCAAGCAACTGCAACGACAAGGACCCGGAAATGAGGACAGGGTTCTCGCCCTCAAGCAGGAATTCAAGGACCTCCAAAAACAAATACGCAACCACAGTCAAACCAAGCGTAAACACTACCTTGAGGAGCGAGTGAAACTCGCAACTGCAGCGGCGGAGCGGGGCGACGCCAGGGCCCTGCACCAGCAAATCAAGCGCCTCACGCCAAAGGTTCCCAAAAGCAAAGTGCACCTGCGAGGCAAGGAGGGTCAATTGCTCTCCACTGCTCAGGAACTACGTCTTATCAGTACGTACTGGCAAAACCTCTACACTGGTGAAACGATCACGCGGCCAATTACGTCCCAAGCCATCCAAATCACCATGGAAGAGGCGTGCAAAGCAATTGCCAGCTTGCCTAGCCATAAGGCCTTGCCCAAGCACTACACCTCGAGCGAGGCTTGGAAACTTGCTGCCAGTCCACTGGCCACCCTCCTTCATCGTACCATCTTGGCTCAATGGCAGGCGGGCGTCATTACCATACCGCAGGAATGGAAGGATGCCTGGCTCTGCCTGCTCCTCAAGCCGGGAAAGAGCGGGCGTAGCCCCGACGAATACAGGCCTATAGGCCTGACTGATCCTATAGGGAAAGCGCTACTGGGTGCGATCGCCAACAAGCATCAGCAGACTTACTATCAGTCCCTCCACTCCCTTCCCCAATTTGCTTACCTGCCGGGGCGGGGAACGGCCCAAGCCATCGCCAGAGTTGGACAGCATATCCATGAGGTCAAAAACCTTGTCTCCGGCCAAAAGCTGACTCTTCACCATCGCCACGCGGGCGAAAGGCAGCAGGACCTGGTTGGAGGCATCATCGTTTCCCTTGACATGACCAAAGCCTTTGACAGGCTTGAGCCGCAGCACATGCAAAATGCACTCGCTGCCAGCAAGCTTCCCGACGAGGTCCAAACACTCATCCTGGAGTGGCATCAAGGGGTTACATACCACATATGCCATGAACGACAGGATGCCGAGATTCGATGTTCGCGAGGGATCAGGCAGGGTTGTAAAATTGCACCAAGAGTCTGGGCTCTATTCACTGCTCTACTCATGCACAAATTAGGCGAAGACTGGTGCCGTGATAACACGACTTGGTTTGCAGACGATATCCTCTTCCACCTTCAGTTCAGCAACAGAAGCGAATTACTGGCAAGCATCAAGGCCATTGCTTTTGCTCTACAAGTCATAGAGGATCTCGGCATGCAAATTGCGGCTGGAAAGAGTGCTGTACTCCTTCACTTGGGAGGCGCGCACTCAAGGAGGATGCGGAAGAGCCTCATTGTCATGCATGAAAACAAGCCGCACCTTGCCTTCCAGCACCAGGCGCGTGTGTGGCACTTACCCCTGGTGGACAAGCATGATTACCTGGGCATTGTCCTGAGCTACACTCGACTCGAGGAACACACTGCTACAAGGCGTATCAACTCTGCTCAGGCTGCGTTCGCAAAATTGAAACCTGTCCTGACGCACAAGAGGATGCCATTGGAACTACGCATCAGACTATGGAAAACATGTGTGCTGGCCAGCCTCTATTATGGCCTACCACAAGTAGGACTGACGCCCCACACTGTGCGTAGGATCACCGTCCTGGTACACAAGCAGCTGCGGCACATCACCAGCATGCCAGTGCATCTGACACACATCAGCAATCAGGACCTACGTGACAGACATGGGGTTTCGCAGCCCATCGCGCACATCACAGCCATAGCACAAAAGCAGCTGGAGGAGGCAATGGCCGTCAAGCATGACCTGGAGGCCGATGATGCACGCATACACAGCCTGGTCCTTAAAAAGGAGAAGCGAGTTGCCGGCCTGCTTGCCACACTGATGCAGGCTGAATCCGCACAACAGGCAGAGGACCTGACCCTGTCATGTCCCCAATGTGAGCGCACCTTCACTACGCTCACGGCACTCAAGAAACATCATAGAACTGAGCACTCAGCGCCTGTCCAGGATGGCTATGAACAATGGAAGCAAGTTGACCGGCATGCGCATGGTAGTCAAGGCCTGCCAATTTGCAGATGGTGCAGCAAGCCATTCCACACGTGGCAAAACTTGCAGCGACACATCTATGCTAATGCCTGTCTCTCGAGGGACTGGCAACACCACCTCCAACACCCCAGCTCCACAGGGGACACCACCCTACAGAATGCCCATGAGGCTACTCCCGAGTCAAGCAACGACAAAGGGAGCGCCATCACCCCAACACATGAACTCACCACATCCGAGGCTGAACGCATCACTGACCTCCCATGCATACAATGGCCGAATATGCTTGAGACAATTGCCAATCATACTCCTCTTTCAGTTCTTCAACAATTCAGCAACTTGCGGCAAGAGCTGACTCAACATTGCTGTCTCTGTCGGCAATGGACTACTGGACGAGGAGGCACCAAGATTCACATGCGGGGGTCTCATGCTGATGAATGGAAAAAAGCAGGCGCACACGCCGAACATGCTTGTCTGCAATATGCCAAGGACGTTACCTACCTTCATGGCTGTCCCTATTGTCAGACTCCCAAGTTTGCTGACAGACGTGCGGCCAGAGCTCACTCTCAAAACTGTCAGGTACTGTTCCAAATACAGTTCATGAAGCTAGCGCAGGCCGCTGTTGCTGTCCCAGTCATGCCCAGATTTCCCTTCACACTTCGGAACGGTAACAACACACACATCATGCTGCCAGTGCCGACAGGTCGCACTCCGAACAGTCAGGAAGCAGACTTCCTGCGCGACTCTTGCTGCGGGTGTGGGCAAAAACCATATGACCCTCGCTCTCTCAAGATGCACTTGCAGAAAGCACACCCTGACATCTGGATACCTGCTGAGGAAATAGAGCCCCACTGTAAAACCTTCCTGCTGCCTGCCACTAAACAATGCCCATACTGCCGCAAGACCTTTGCCAACGGCAAAACCCACGGCCCAGTTTGTCCTGTTATTTTCCAGTTCTGCACCCTCGCTGCTCATGGCCTCGGAGGTCCTGGCCATCCTGGGACCGATCATGCCCACCTTGAGGGAACTGGAGGAGCATCCTGCCAAACGTCCCCGCCCAGATCCTCGAGAGGCACAGCCAGCGAAGGGCAAAGGCAAAGGGAAGGGCAAAAAATCCAGCAGTCGCCATGGCACCTGGTACAAGGGGCACGGGAAAAGCAGCTACACGGGAGTGGGCCCAGCCATGGAGGCCATGGCCAGGCTGTGTCTCCGGCAGGAAGCGGAACTCAGCGAATTACGGCAAGAGAAGGGCTTTATCCTGCATTTGGAAACAGCCTCTCACGGGATTCTCAGCCCCATCGTGCAGGCGTCCATGAAATGGAACGAGCTCTACGAGCAGGGCAAGGCGGATTGCAACCTACGGACCTGCCTGTTCCGCCTTCTACTCAAGGAGACAGCAGCTCGCCCGGAGAAGTTCGAAGCAACGCAGGAAAGCATCGGGGCGGCGGTGAAGCAAAAGTGGGTGACGGAGAATCCGCTGCAGTGGACGTACAATCGTTGGAACCCCGACAGCAAGAAGGCCGAGATCGAAGAAACCAAAAAGCCACTGGCCCACGTGGATGTCAAGCAGCTCCTGACGACGATGGACGAAGCCCTAAAGCAGGACCCAGAGGCGCTGCACCAGTTCAAAGCCCTACGCAAGCTCACGGAAGAGATGCAAGGAAGCTCAGTGGCGTTCAAAATATCTGTGGGTCTGAGGGGGGCACAGTGCCAACGCCTCTACCAGGCATTCGTGGTGCTCAGCGGGCTGTCGGCCCTGAACCTCATCGGGGCAAACCTTCACAAAGAGCGGCAAAAGAACAGCCGAGAGGCCGACACTGTACGACAAATGGTCTTGACTCCAGGCTCAGACTCCGAAATCCCCTGAACCACAACTACTGCTACATGAATACCGTCTTTCAAGCCTTCCTTCATACCTGGCAGCAGGCGGGTTCACGCCCTGGGATGCTGGGGAAGCTTGGAGTCAGTGGTAAGGCGGCGCTGGGCCTGCCACAACCTGTTCTGATAGCCAACATGCTTGCCTTCCAGACTGTTCTACGGGGATGGGCCAATCCCAAAATGCAGCATGATGTTGCTGAGTTTTTGCATCACATTGTCCGCGCTAGCAACATGCCCTATGGTTGGGGCAGATGGGAGGTGAGACGGCACATCCATGATGCTCTCACGGTTGTGGACTCAGGCTGTTTACGTGCCCCAATAGCCATTGCAATGCCTAATGCACCCACCCACCTCACCACGTGTTTGCGACAACACTTTATTGGTGATTCGACGCAACTTGCACTTGTTGACGCACCTGACATGCTCTGTTGCCAGCTGTTTAGATACACTGTGTCAGCCGAGGGGATGACCTCCAAAAATGAGATAAGAGTGGACTATGACAGGCAGCCCATTCTAATCCCTCAGTGGAGTGACATGCACAGCCTGCAGACGTGCAATATACCGTACCAGATCACGGCTGTCGCGCTGCATGCAGGCCACACACCACACTGCGGGCACTATCGTGCACATCTATTGGAGGATTGTGCGAACCTCATTGCAGATGATGACGTAGTGCGCCTATGTACAGCTCAAGATGAACATGATGTGCAAACAACATCCTACGTGTTTTTCCTACGCAGGCTGTCAAATGCTACCGGGAGCATTGATGCAGCACCAACGATTGAGCTCTAGGGTCAGCTCTGAGGGGCAATGCCAAGTCGAACAATTCGACTTTCTTTCTTTTGATTCTCGAGCACAGCTGTTGGTCTATCCACGCTGGAGCCCATTGTAATTTACTGTGCGCAGTAATTGTCTCAATTGAAGGCATAGAAGTCAGCTGATGGGTTCTCCACGCTGACATGTCGTGTAGTATGCAGCGGTGCGTCTGCTAGGCAGTTCGCTGCGGGATGCCCAGTAGGGCGGACGCTAGGTGAGTCTCACACTTCGTGAGCCCTCGCCGCGTGGGAAACAAACAACTCTACGTTCGCCCCGAAATCCTATAGGCCTCGTGGGCTCTAGGAGGGTCTGTCAAGCTGTTTAGGGTCTAGTGACTAGTGTTTAGGGTTTAGGGTAACCTAGACCAAACCCATCCCCTATCCAGCCACTTATGCCCTATACCCTACAACATAAACTTCAGGGTTTTGGAGGTGGGGCGAGAGGTTCCAGGAAGCTCTGCCATGTGTTTAGGGTTTAGGGGGTTTGGGGGTTTAGGGGTTTTGGGTTTAGGGTCAGCTGCCCCAGAAACACAGTGAATCATGGGGCGCACGGCAGCCCAGTCGTTCACTTCCTTTGGGGCTCGGATAGCCTTGACAACCCCCCGAAGCACAAAACCCCCACACCCTAAACCCTTAAACCCTAAAACCCTTAAACCCTAAACCCTAAATCCTAAACCAATAATCCCGAAGCTAATAGCCCTAAGCAGGTGATGCCCTCGCTCATGGAGAAGCTGGCGGTAAAGGCTCCAAAGAGCTGGTTCTCCGAGCGCCTCGTCCCTTTGGGGCCTAGGGATCTTGAGGGTTTTGGGTTTATTTAGGGTTTAGGGTTCAGAGGCATTTTTTCTGGGGGTTAGGGGCTTTGCGGTTTAGGGTTTAAAGGCATTTTCGCGGGGTTAGGGGCTTTGGGGTGTAGGGTTCAGGGTATTTTGGGGGTGTTGGTTTCGGGTTGAGGGCGGCTGGGTTTAGGGTTTGGGGGTGCCCGAGATAGTATGGTCTAGAGGCCCCCCGAGGGTTGCCCCACGAGGGTTTAGGGTTTAGGGTTCAGGGTTTCCCCCCAAAAGCCCGAAAGATCTGAGTCCTTCGAGCTTTAGGACAAGTCTCACGTCTCACCTTAGGGTTTTAGGGGGCCTGGAGTGAAAGCGGGGTTCATGGGGGTACTTAGGGAACCTCAGGCAAGCTTGGGGAGCCTTAGGGTGCCTAGTCGGGAGTTGTGGGGAACCTTGGATTACATACCCCCTCCCTTAACCTTACAGTTTCATCGAGGTACTCAAACTTCTTGGAGTTTTGGGGCCTTTAGGGGTTAGTGTTTCGGGCCTTAGGAGGGCTCCCTCCGGATGTAGGTCTGAGAGGCTTTACAGCCGGGTTCAGGTGTGATGTAGGTGCTTCGGGTGTCTGTGTGGGCGGGCTTCGCGACAGCCGGACCCAAAGTGTAAAGAGAGCGCTTTCATTATCCTTATCGATAGTTTCCCGAAGCCGCAAACCCTACAATTACCCCATTATAGCTACCTTATAATGCATACCCTAAACAAAACTACAGCAAGCCACAAGCCCGGCAACCCCCCCTATGGTTACCTCTAACTACCCGACAACTACCCCTAAGCCGATAGTTGTCCGATAAATACTCCAAACCCCAAGCCCTAAACCCCAAACCCCTAACCCTAAACCCCATACCCCGAACCCTAAACCTCTAACTAAAACCGATAGTTATCCGATACAACTCTAAACCCCAAGCCCTAAACCCCAAACCCTTAACCCTAAACCCCAAACCCCAAACCCAACATGTTTGCCCCTTCAGTACCCTTCAGAAGCCCCCCAAAATTGGGAAGTCGGGACACTCAACTCCCCTAAGCCCGGTCCCCTTGCTAAACGAGCCCACACGCACCCCCCGCATCACCCCGGTTTAGGGTTTAGGGTTTAGGGTTTAGGGTTTAGGGTTTAGGGTTTAGGGTTTAGGGTTTAGGGTTTAGGGTTTAGGGTTTAGGGTGTCTTTGTTGGAAGAACCCTCAGCCCTAAAGCCCTACAGCCCTAGAAGCCCCTAAGCAGCCCTGAATCCTCAAAGTACTTTAACAAAAGAGTCGACCAACCTTGACAGGTCCTGGACAAGAAACTTGTAAACCCTGCATAAACTCTATGCCCACACACTAAATCGTAAGCCCTGCACCATAGGGACGTAGGTTTTCGGCTTCCTTCTTCAAGCCCTAGGCCCTAAGCCCCAAACCCTAAACCCTTCTTAGGGTTTAGGGTTTAGGGTTTCAGGGTTTTAGGTTTTAGGGTTTTAGGGTTTTAGGGTTTTAGGGTTTTAGGGTTTTAGGGTTTTAGGGTTTTAGGGTTTTAGGGTTTTAGGGTTTTAGGGTTTTAGGGTTTTAGGGTTTTAGGGTTTAGGGAGGTTTAGGGGTTTAGGGTTTAGGGTTTAGGGTTTAGGGTTTAGGGTTTAGGGTTTAGGGTTTAGGGTTTTAGGTTTTAGGGTTTTAGGGTTTTAGGGTTTTAGGGTTTTAGGGTTTTAGGGTTTTAGGGTTTTAGGGTTTTAGGGTTTTAGGGTTTTAGGGTTTTAGGGTTTTAGGGTTTTAGGGTTTAGGGAGCCAGGAAGGAGCTTTGCAACGAAGCCACGGGTGCTCCCCTGACCTTTGTGCTCAGCAACCCTGGCTCAAGAGTTGGCTTTGGGATTAGGGTTTAGGGTTTAGGATTTGGTTCAGGCAACGGGCTAAAGCAAGGGACCTTAGAGGTTATTTAGGGGTCTACTGAGGTATATAGGGATGCTCCCCCTTATACTAACAGTCCTTAACAGGGTTTATAACATGGGGGGGGCACTATAATCCCTATTAAGGACTGCTAGTGTAAGGGGGAGCATCCCAAACCTTGGGTGGCTGCTCTGCCCCATAATTAAAGCCCACAAGCCCGAGCCCTCGGTAGCCGTGGTCTCAAGGGTTTTCTTGCAGGTTACTGGAAGCCAATTGTCATGTGTAAGCCCACTTATAAGCCCCTTAAGTACACCCATCTTGGTACGACCTCGCAAGATGTGCTAAGTGTTCCTTTACGACCCTCCTTTCGAAACGTCCTCAGACAGGGCCCTAAGCCCTGAGCCCTAAACACCAAACCCTAAACCCTAAACCCTAAACCCTAAAGGGTCATGAATCTCCAAGTCGGTTTGAGTGCTCTCTGACCTGCAGAGATGCAAGGCAACGGCGAGAAGCTAACTTTGGATGCCAAGGACTGGCGCGGGCCGAGGGGTGTAGGACTTAAACCTATAAACCCTAAACCCTAAACCCTAAACCCTGAACCTTTTGGGGTTTCGACTTTAGGGTTTTACGGCTCCTATTCTTGGCAGAGACTTTGTTGCTACGCACTGCGCAAACAGCTGCTCGGGGTGACTTGCTTGACTCGCTCCGACGAGGGTGTGACTCTTCAGCTCTGACAATGAAGTACAACATGCACGTGGCGTGGGCAGTTTCTGAAGTCATCCGGATTTGGCGGTTTCTTGCTTGAGGCAACAAGCGTGGCAGCACACGCGCCAGAGGTTTCGACTATCTGACTCTGGCCGGTATTGAAGTTATTTTGGTTCCAACATCCCCACCTTGATCCTCGTTAAGAAGAAAGAACGCAAATAACTCAAACAAAGACACATTGATTCAAATTCGCTTTCTTAGTATGTGCTTGCAACTGCCAGGGACGCTCCGGGGACGCTCTGGGGTTGGGCACTCCAGGGATGAGCGAGGAGTAGACCAGGCGAGGAAGAGTTCTGGGCGAGGAGAAGAGTTGAATTTAAAATCTAACAGCGCCACACCGAAGGTGGGGAAAAACCCTAAGCTTCAAGGGCTCATAGGACAAATATTGTTTTCAATTGAGTATGCTGGCGAAGCCAATGTAACAGGTGTAGTGGGGGCTAAGCAAAATCTTGAACCCAGCTGTTATGCTGAGGCCCAATGCTTAGGAGATTCAACTGCAATCTCCAAGCCCTGGCCAGGCAAAGACTGAACTACGAGCCGTAAACCCTCAACTATGAACCCGAAGACGTACACCCCCCAACGCCAAAAGTATTTTTTTTTCGGGGCTGGTTTCGTTTCCCTCGAAACCTCCTCCAACGAACAAAAACCGTGCCTGCGCAACTCCGGTCAATCATGTCAATCCAAAACCTTGAAAGGCTTTTAAGGGTTTCAGGATTTGACCCTAATCCCTAAACCCAAAACCTGAATTAGGGTTCAGGGCTTAAGGATTTTAGGGTTTCAGGGTTTTAGGGTCTGGGTTTCTTTGTCAGGCTTATGGCTCCATCTTCGGTTGTTGGAGGGTTATTCGAGTCTAGGGTCAAAATGGTTTAAGGCTCGGGGCTTAAGGCGCTCAGCCCGGACTCTAAAACCCCAAGCCCTAAACCCTAAACCCTCAACCTAAACCCTAAACCCTAAACCCTAAACCCTAAACCCTAAACCCTAAACCCTAAACCCTAAACCCTAAACCCTAAACCCTAAACCCTAAACCCTAAACCCTAAACCCTAAACCCTAAACCCTAAGCCAGGACTACGCTGGCCCTGAAGGCAAAGACTGCGTGGCGCAGCTCCACCCCTGGGAAGTCGAGGAGCGCAGGGGCTTAGGGCTTGAGCCAGTAGCTCTTGCCTCCTGTGCTAGGACTTGCCCTAAACCCTAAACCCTCAACCCTAATCCCTAAACCCTACACCCTAAACCCTAAACCCTATGAACCCTAAACCGGCCTGTCGGGTTGAGTGCATCAGGTTTTGGAGTTCAGGGCTCTCGCGGTTTCAGGCTTGGAGCCTTGCTGGGAATTTGGGTTTTCAGTAGGGTTTACGGTATCTAGGATGCCCAGTAGTACCCTTATTCCCTTTTTGGGGGGGTTTAGGTTCCCTTATAAACCCCTTTAAGCAAAAACGGGCACCCTTTTTTAGCCTAGGTTACTGGGCAGCCTAGGTATTAACTGACTACGAATTGCTGAAGAACTCCCCTAAAAATAAGATCATCTCCCTTGCAAGG